AAAGACTTTGCCAAAATAGGTTCTACATGTACCTTAAGGACCCTTTTCTCGTGACGGCATCATATATATATATATATATATATATATATATATATATATATATATATATATATATATATATATATATATATATATATATATATATATATATATATATATATATATATATATATATATATATATATATATATATACAGAGAGAGAGAGAGAGAGAGAGAGAGAGAGAGAGATGATTACTTTCTGTATTATCCAACTATTTCAGAGGTTGGACCATGATTCATTAGACACTTTGGTGATTTATGCTATGCATTAGTACATGTAATTCCAAGTACCACCGATATGACCGTTGGTCCCAGTCATGGAATTAACTGATCGGGATTCAAACATTGGTCAGTAAGTCGGGCAAGTTTTGATTCAAGAGGAAAAACTACAATCGTTATGTAATCTTCGAATTTTACGGACAGAAACAGCACATAAAAATACTCTTAGATAGATGCAATCTTCTATAAGAATGCCGAACTTTGCCATCTACGCACTCTTTGAATCTGAGATTTTTCGACGCATTGATTGGAGTGCAAACAGAATTTTTACCAGATTACAAGAATAATAAATATTACAATTGTTTAAAATTATATGTCAATGAACAAGTAGCCATCAAGAAAAATCATATCGACAGGCATTGGTTTTATTATATATTTTCTTTTCTTTTTTTTTCAAAATCGTTGAAACAGCTTTTAAATTTATCAAACTCATGTTAGAGATTGTTTATCCGGACAGCAAATTGCTATACTTTGTATATCTTTACTGATATTATTATAACGTGTATAATATTTTCATGTGTTTTCTTGTTCTTATAATCGTGCGCTAGTAAATGTTAAAATGAGACAATATTGCAGAGACATTTAAACGTAATAAAAACAGTAGATTATATTATTAATAGATTAGTAACATTGTTTTGATGTAGCTGCATGTTTCTCAATGCATTTTTTTCTCTTAAAATTTCTTCTTCTTTTTTTGAAAGTAAATGTGCTTTAATTTTATACAAAACACCAAATTAAAATAAGGAAGTAATGTTACATTTCCTAAAACTTAATTATCGTACCAGTTTGTAATTTCCCTTCCACATAAAAAAATGTTATTTTGGCATTCTTGCAAAAGCTTTCAAGGCGGAAGAGACAATTTGTCCAAGGGCAAAATCAAATAAAATAAAGTTTTCCATATTTTTTTTTTTCAAGATAATGCAGTTTTGCAAAACATGCATAGTTATTTAGTACGAATCAAAGAATGCCAAAATACAAAAGTATCTTTGGGGTTTTTTCTGTCTAATCATCTATCTGAATGCTTTAAAAGCAGGAAATACCAAGATTTTAATTTGTTTTAAAAAAGTAACTCAACACAGTTAATTCGGATTTGATCTTTTTTAGAGAGAGAGAAAAGGCAATATTTATAACCAGGATGACACAGGTGCAAAATATGATGGGACGGGTATTCTTTGGACATTCAATAAGGTTTGCACAAGCACTTTTACAAATAATGCGGATGGGGCACTCATATTTTTTTTCTTGTTACAAAAAGTACAAGTATCAATTAAAATAAATAAGGAAATCAAACAAGCATAAGTGTTTAAACTGTGAAAGCTTGTTTTAATTTTAAGTATCTAAATGGCTATTTTGAATCATGATCTGAAAAAGCTGCACTTTATCGTTATATACGAATAATTCATTCCAGCAGTTTTCTCCCTTCCAGAAGAAGTTCAACTCTAAATACATTCACATGTATCCAGTCATCCTTATTCTTAAAACGTACATGCTTTTGACTTGTCCCTACTCATTCCAATATTAATTCAAACTTTTTCATATTAACATTGCTGTAAGCTATATTGCCCGTCACTTTATATTTATCAACTAACTAATGGCTCATATTTTGCATCTCAAATGCGTCAATATAGAATATAAAAATAATTCACTTAAATGTATGTCATGCGAACTTTACAGCTATTCATATAATTTTATTATAGACAAGTTCAAGGAAATAATATATAATTTTGATAATAGATAACACATTAAGGTCAGACAAGATGTTCCTCAAAAATATTTTTTTCCGAAAAAATGTTTTACACATTGCTAACTTTTATTTTCTCACAAAACAAATTGCGATGCATTACCAAGTATTTGTGCAAGATTCCAGAGGACGATATTTCCTTTAGAATCCTACTGGATATTACTTGAATTGCTGTTATCACACTTTTGGTGTTTATATCTTTTAAAGACATTTTGCGAATAGCTTAGAAATCACAAGATAATAAGAAATATAAATGTATTTCGTACGTTACAAAGAGGTACAAAATCAAAATTTGAGGAACGTCCGTCTGACCTTAAGCACATCATATTTTTGACTTATGGATCATGGAAATTTTAAGGAAGTGGCTGAGGATATAAACATTTTTATCGACTTAATTGTCATTTATTTGAACCATTTAAAAAATATTCTTAAAACATACTTCTTATTAGCATGTTTGTTTGAAAAAAAAAAATGAATTCTAGTTATGCTACATGTAAATAATTTATCAGTTTCATTAAAGACTCTAAAATTAGATTATTGCTAAGTAGAACAGGAATAGAGCAAAGTAGAAAGGGATATAATAAAAATAGTAAAAAAGAGATGTATCAGTTCCTGACATAAATTCATAATTTTTATCTAAATGCTGATGATATTTCTTTCACTCACAACAAATGATCTTTTTGTGTTATAAGAAGATTCTTTCTAAAATGCCTTCATGTAAGTACATCTTTTCATGTTATACAAAAGACGTTCAATAAACATTGGATTCAAATTAGTATATAAAAAATGCAAAACGATACATTTCAAGCTATATGATTGGAAATACTGATAGAAAGGAGTCAAGTACACTGAGTTAAATATAAGAACCATCAAATCTGAAGCTGATATCATAAAATGTTGACCTTTTCTTCGTGTAGAGAAACAATTGCACAAAACTTTGACATTGCAAAGATATTTGTAGAAAGGCTTTATATTTGTAGAAAATATTCCCAATATTTAAATACTTTAAAAAAGAAAACATAAAGAAAATTATTGAAAAATTGTCACTTTGTCACACTTTTATTATGTCTAATTTAAATTTTGCCATTTTACATGTACCTTATAACTCTGCAGTGAAAAAGAAACGCAAAACATGAGAAAATTCAAGAAAGAATCCTCTGTTCTCTATACCTAATGATTGTTATAGATTGCAGGAAACACCTTTTGTATAAATTAAAGCTGCCATATCTGACGCTTATAATAAGGCACATTAAAATTATTGCTATGTAATTTTCAAAAACGTCTACATCGTTTCATTCATCATAAAGCATAATGTACCATTAAAAAAAAACAAAATCTGACAAACTGCACTGGTAAAATTTGAATCAACGCTTGAACATTTATTCCAAAACTCATGTAAGCTTTATGTAAATGTGTACACCGGAATATCCTAATATCAAATTTGCTCTATTTACGAGTGATTTTTCTTCATTCGATTGATATTTGATTTCAGTTAAAGGTCAACTATTTGTTCTGATGATTTTTCTAACATTTTTGATGAATATAACCATGGCATATACTTTAAACAGGTAAGATTTTTTTTCACAAAAATAATATGTTCGATTGCACAACCCACGAATATGTATGAATTGAATATTTTTTTTTTTTTTCATAATATTGTTTTGAAAATTATCTACTTCTTTTTGAATCTGATATATGATTATTAGAGTTCAGCTACTATTATTTCCCTTTTGAACTATAAATGCTAACGGTTGTTTTAACTAGACATTTCCATTGCATAAATATGAAGAAAACGAACAGTATTCAAGCTCAAAGTCAATTTGAACAATTCAAATCGGGAGCAGAGCAATCACGAACCCCCCAGAACATCAGAGGTGGGATCAGGTGTCATGGAGGAGTTTGCGCCCCCTAACGACCGGTCACACCCGCCGTGTTCTCCTTGTCATGATCGGGAAAAAAGCAGAAAAATATGTAAACAATTCAGTGTGTAATTAATGGCCTAACAATTAGTATGATTTGATTGATTGATTGTTTGTTTGTTGTTTTACGTCCCATTCGAGAATTTTTCACTCATTTAGAAACGTCACCATATATCCGTGAAGGGCTTCAAATTTTGACCTTTACTTGACACTCAGGGCCATTGAGCAGTGAGGGATCGCTATCGTGCCAACGCCTACCGTGATACGGGACCTCGGTTTTTAAGGTCTCATCCGAAGGACCCGCAACTTTCACTTCAAAGTGCCGAGCGCATAGCGAAGGAACAAATGCTACCCATTTTTTATCGACTTAGGTCAGTCGCGGCCGAGATTCGAACCCACGACCTCCCAATCACGGAGCGAGCGCTCTACCGACTGAGCTACCGTGAACGGTAACAAATAGTATGAAAAACGTCGGTCAGCATTTGACTTAATGATGGGTTCTTAAAACTGTATGCTATTTATTTTAAAATGACATTATTTTCCTATTTCATAATTATAAAAACTTACTTTCCCCAGAACTTTATCCCAGAGAGTTGTTGTACGTATATGGGATGATTTCCGATGTAAAGATGACATAATTGATAATTTGAAAAGGTACATAACAGGTAAAATTTTAAATTTCCATGTTTACTCTTTTCATCATTTACTAAAAGCTGTTTATTGCTTTATCTAAAAGGAATAATCTTACAAAAGAAATCTAAAAAAAGATGACTATTTAAAAAGTATAGGGGTTCTTAATGATACATCTTCTTACTGAAATAAAATGATTCATGAAATCATTTTTTTTCTGTATTGTATGAAATATCCACATCAGCACCAGAAAGCGACGACGATGAATGCAGAGTAGGTGTGACGAGAGGCACAAACTCTACGAAATGGCAACCAATTCTTACACTCAATATGTACACAAAGAGATCTTCCGCAACATTGAGACGTGACATACAATACTGTATCTCAAAGGAGAGTCAGTTGGATATATTTCTGGAATGCAATATATCTGCTACAGGTAAAATTTAAGTGGGTAAAACAGAATAACTGCATTGATAGCTGGATTTTGTATATTTATTCTCAGGCTTGTAGCTGTTTTATTGTAAACTACAGTAATATATTTTTTTTAATTTATGCACACAAACGATATAAAAAATATATATGAATATGATAATATTTTACAAACAAGAGAAACTTGTTGGGCAAAAAATATTGAACTCTCATTAGTCATATTATCAACTGAGCCGTTCCATGCGAAAAGGGCTCTATGTATTTTGACGTCATAATGAGAAATACTCTGGTAAAGATAACGTCATAAAATGCAAGTTGCGTATGTTATATATATATATATATATATTTACATTTTTACCTGAGCTCTATCAACTTATTTTCATTGCTGTTTATATCATTTAGAGCCAATAAAATATCAGGAAAAAAAGAAAAGCCAAGTTTCATATAAATGAACATTTCTAATATTAAATATTAAATTTTGGTGATTTAATTAGGTGCTAGATTTTTAATCCGATTTTTCATACACTGAAAGCGATCGTACATATATGTTCACATCCTTTTTAAACAAATACATAATATAAGAAGTGAAATAGTTTACAAATGAAAAAAATTCTTAAACCGTTTCCAGCATATAGGTTTATATACGCGATTAAGATTTTGTTTAGCTCTTCATGTAGCAAATGAAAAGTTAGAAAAGGTTGATTCTTCGTAAACCACAAATTTAATGAAGAAATTTTTTTAACCATGTTTATTCTGTCTGTATAAACGCAATAAAAGACAATTTGCCTTAGTCATGGTCATTTACAGGTCCTCATTCAAGTAGAGACCTGTTGGTTTTTACTGTTTACGGAGACAGCCTAACTTCTGGCTGAACGAGACTAATGTGTTTGTTACGATATATATTTCTTGAAATTTGAGAATCAAATCTAGTATTATTTGTTGAAGTCTTGGACTAGCCGGAAAAAAATAAGTAAAAAGTAAATGCTGCAACAAACGAAAAAAAAAATTGACCAATTTTTTTTTATGCATTAATATGGGAATATTGGACATGGGGGTGGGATTGCTAGAGGTGTGTGCAATTAGGCATTCAGTGAACATTTTCATTCTATATCAATTAATTACCAGTGAAACATTATGTACGGACCGGCCCCCTCCCCCCAAAATACAACATGCCTGTATTTAATTCCTAGTAAATACCCCCCCCTTTTCTGAGTATAGTATGTTACTATAGTAAATTATCCTTAAGCTGCTGGTTGCCCCCCCCCCCAAACACACACACTTTTTGCTGCTGCAAGTTTAAGCACTGTCAAATTGCAGGATCTTGCCAGTAAATTAGCCTTGTCAGAAAATTTTTGGAAGTTGGTCCCTCCACTTTGGTCAGTTTAGGTTTTTTTTCCTTGTTAGTTTTTTTTGGGGATGTTGGTTCCCTCCACTTTTGAAACCGTTGCTAGGGTCTGGTTTGTGTCAGTTCATAGGCCCGACGCATTACTGGCCACTTCCGTCTGTGTCCCCAAATGTATTTCTTAAATGTTAAAATTGTAGTCCATCGTTAAAACCTTTAATAAACTCTGAAACCGATTTACTCGTTACTTTGGATTTATAACATGTGATTTCGGGAAGAGTCATAGGAATACGAGACTACTACTTCCGGCCCGCAGCGCCACTCATTTCACTGCCAACATTCCCTCTTTCCCGATCAACGTCATATCTTATTAGACCCAAACTAAACAATCATACTACCACAAAATTTGAGAACCACAAAATGAATGGAAGAATATATAGGCCTAAGCTTTTGATTTTTTTTTTCTTCAAGCGAAATTTAGCGAAAAAGGGGGAGGGGTACATGGTGAATCAATGTAACATAAAAAAAACTTCAAAATATATTCTGAACTTATAATGACCGTATAGGATATGATGATAATATGAAAATTATATCCTCATCCCCAGTTTTTGTGAGATTACATGTTCACTGCAAGACATACGAATACTGACCTGCTTGTAAGTCGGTACAGTGCAAATAGGCGGTGCAAATATTTCGACGGTTTACGCCAATATTGCAGGGAACTCAACCTTAAAATAATGTTTGTATGCCCTCTCCCGACTCAGGATGAAAAAATTTGATCGGTAGGTACGTGAGAATTTTTTTTCACCAGAAAATTTTAATATCAATGCTGAATTTTTAAAATATATTTTCCGAAATGTATAAAAAAAATTCTTCCTGGCAGTTAAAAAGAGTTTTGAGTCGGGCCAATTTTAGCAGGTCGGAGAGGGCAATCAAACAATTTTGACAGATGGTCTAACATGCACAGTATCGTAAGAAACTTACATTACCCATGTAAAAGGGGAAAGGGATTGTCTCGGCACGTATTATTGCCTGTGTCAAATATTTACCAATGTAGAACAATTAGTACATGTACGTTCAGTATTGTAGGTAAATATTGCCCCCCCCCCTTCCTCAAACTTTATTTAATTTGTCAGAAAACCTCCTCAAACTTCATTTTTTGAACTTGCCAGAAAATTTTAACTGGATTTTATTACTGTAGATGCCCCCTCCCCCTCTTGCCGATTAATTTTCTGTATCCGCCCTTCAAGCTTTCTTTCATAAATTCATCTCAGGTCATGAATAAAACAACAAAAATTATATCCTTATGATGAAAAATTATCAAACAATGAACTCTTAAATTACAAGGGAGACGCAATGTTATCAGTCTTATGTTACGGATTCTTTTTAAAAAAAATTTAAAAATATTTTTCATAAAATACAAATAGATAAAATACAAGTCTGTAAATTATCTAAACACATATCTTTTATTTATCTATTTGTTTTTAATATATACTTTTCTCGGAACCGTATATCAGAGCAATATTCATTCACTTGACGTGGCGAGTGTATAATGTTATTATTTAAAAGAAAAAGCACACCGTGTATTTACCAATGTAAAACAATTATCTGTGTTTAATTTATGAGAAAACCTACATAAAGAATTTTTTATCGGATTTTTTAAATCATGTGTTACAAATGACCGAAATGGACATTTATGTGACATGCAAAATTGCCGACACTCGTAAAATGTACAGTCATGTAACTTTTGTCTTATACAGAATCCAAACACCTCTTCATTATAAAAAGTTAAACTAACAAGGATGAAACCGTTTCGACAACTAGTGAATAATTTAGATATACTTTACAGAAAACAATTATATCAAATATTGCATATGAAATAAAAGCAGGGGATTTTATACATAAATTTTTCATGTATGTTTTCGCGTGATAAAGTAAGTTTTTTTTCAATTAGATACGTATTTCAAATATTTCAGAGAGAGATATAAAAGCGTTAGTTTGAACGTCATTTTTCAACGTCATTTTAACATTCACGTGATTTTCTTAACCTTTGATTCCCTATATCTCAGTAATTATTCTCAGTTATTATTCTGAATATTTGAAACAAACTTTATATTTGGTTATTTTACACTATAATCTGTCATAATCCATTGAAAAGTAAATTTGAAAATTTCTACCTTAAGGGTCCTTTTCGCGTGGGACGGCTCAACTAATATCATATTTTCTTTAGGTAACTTAAAATGAAGAAATATCCAAATATGATTTTTTTTTCTGAAAACTGAGAGCACTCCTCATTTTCAAAAATAAAAATTACGAGTATTAGCATACTAAATTCCACCAGAGTAATACTATTCTATCTTCGTCATTTATTTGAAGACTCTATGCTTTAATAAAAAAATTAAAGTAAAAAGCAAACAAACAAAAAATAAAATAAACAAACGAAACAAAACAAAATAAAAGCAATAAATGCAACTATACATTTTCAGATTACTTTTTTTTACTTTTTGAACAACGTTCACAAACATATATTTTAATATATACCTTCTCAGAAAACACACTACACTATATATGCATCTATGAATCCAGTGCCATATTACAAATTCATAAAATGACAACTCTTATAAAGATCACCTAAAAGTAGATTTTTTATATTAAAAACATTAAATTTAACATGGAATTTTGCTTAATTTTAAACAGTCCCAATCAACGGAAATTTGAAGACACATATAACCTTATCTATATTGTTCTGAACTTCACTGATTTTATCATAATATTTTTAATAAACAATGAATTTTCAGCTTCCATGGGCAAACTGTGTCTTGCTGACGATGACTGCGACACAGAAAACGCGGTTTGTAGTATGAGGGAAGATTATGGACGCTGTGTATGCAAAGAAGGGCACCGTGTTGACGGTAGTCGTCGAAAATGCATCAAAGGTATGAAAGACTGTTTTGAACTTTCAAGCAAGAAAGTATAAACAAATTTAAATTTTAAAAATATTGCTTTACTTGATTGATAAAAATGGAGCAGATTTTATTTTGCTAATTTTACATTTTTTGTAGTAAATGTTTTTCTTGGGGGACAGTGCGAGAAAAATGAAAACTGTGGACAAATGAATACACGGTGCCACAATAATAGATGCACATGTGCAGATGGATATTTTGAATCTAATGGATTTTGTACAAGAAGTATCCTCTGCTTTTGTTTATAAAATGCAATTTCATGTTTCCTTGTTAATTTTGTGGACAGTTGATTCCCTATGTCATGATACAAAAAATATGTTTTCAAACTGTTTTACATCTAAAGACGACACAGCTGTTCTTTTTTATATTAGTTGAATGTAAAACGACATGTAGATCATCAGCTTTAAAGAAGAGATAATTTTAATATTCCCAACAATCAAAATGAATTTGAATTACCATACCTTTACTGGATTCCTAAATTAAACTTCATAAAAAATCCTTACAAAAAAGATACATAGCGGGTACCAGTAAATGTTCTACCAAGCCTCTTTCTTTACTACTCACTAAAATATTTACTGTAATGAAGGAGAAACTTCACGAGTACTGTTCAGCAGTATATTCGAGAAGCGGTGTAAATCAGATGTGAATACTTCAAAATTTCAAAGAACTTTTGGAAAATTTGAAAACAAAATTTTACTAAAATCAAAAGCATCAAAACGTACGATTTTTCAACACGTTATATAACCATTCCCCACGATAAATTGAAGTCCAGGCATTTTGACATCATAGACAGTTGCTTTTTCAATAAAAATGGAACTCGTAAATATACTTACCTTGTCATTGGTCATTTACAAAATTATTTTGTTAAAAAACACTCTGTACATACAAGTACTCTGAAGTTGATATTAAAAAGATGCGTGAGTGTCTGATTGACAATATCTATTTAGTTTTTGGAGATCAGGTCTTCCAATAATTTGTTGGAATTTCCATGATAAACGTGATGACTTCAGTTTTTCAGTTGTCAACTTCCCTTACTTATGTAGCAATATACCCTTATCACCTGCATATGGGGTTTATGTCTCTCAGTTGATTCGATACGCAAGAGCATGCTCTACGTGTGAACAAATTTTAAAACGAGGCAAGCTATTAAAAAACAAGTTGATGAAACAAGGATGTCAACAGTCTCGTTTGAAGTAATATTTTCGCAAGTTTTCGGTCGATACAATGTCCTTGTCAGCAAATACAATTTATCAATGAGTCAAATGCTGACTGACGTTTTTCATACTAATTGTTAGGCCATTTTTTATACACTGAACTGTCTACGGATTTTTCCGGTTTTTGTTTCCTTATGACAAGGAGCACACGGCGGGTGGTACCGGTCAGAAGGGGATGCTTACTTTTCCATGGCACCTGATCCCATCTCTAAATTTTTGAGGTCCGTGTTTGCGCTGCTCCAAATTTGTTTCGTTTAATTGGACTTTTGAGATTGAATACTGTTCCTTATCTTCTTATTTCATGCTAACCTGTTGAAATAAGCTTGGTCAGTCTAAAAGCTTATATTCAATACTGACGATTTCATTGTTTTATTTTATTTTTTTTTCCCCTTCTTAACAGGGAATCTAAAGCTGGGTGAAGCGTGTTCCAACGACAAAGAGTGTGGACAATCTCAGTTCTGTCACAACAAAATATGTTCCTGTTGTGCAGGATATGTTCAAATTGAAAACATTTGTGTAGAAGGTAATCTTTAAATAAATTATAATAGACTATGTTAAGTCACGATTCATAAAAAAAAAAACATTCAAGAATTACTTATTTTTCATACAATGTTGTTTCGGTAAATCATATTTTTTTGTTTAAAATACATAATGTCATTTAAATGACTAATATCTTTATACCGTATTTTGCTATATCCAATAAATATGTTTTTTTTATAATTTACAGGAAGAAAAGCACTCAGATCTCCATGTCAGTATCATCAACAATGCACAGAAACACCATACGCAAGTCTTTGTCTTGGAAATTCCTCCCATCATTTGTGCAGCTGCGATATGGGATTTGTCGAAAGAAATCGGTCTTGCATACGTATGAGTTACACTTCTGATACCAGAATTCATCATTTAAACATGATTATAAGCTACAGTGCATACGCCACACGCATGTATTCCTTAATAAATATATATATATATATATATATAGAGAGAGAGAGAGAGAGAGAGAGAGAAAAAATTATTTTAATTTGTCTAAAATGTTGTTTTAATAACATACAATATAATATATCATTACTTTTTTTATTTAATAACAATACCCCTACTATCTAATAATACATGCAGCTTTCATGGATAGCCTCCCATTTATTTTATATATTTCTGTTGTCTGCTGATGTTCAAAACTACTGTTATCAAGAAACCCTATTGAAGCTATGTATTAGTTATGGATTGTTAAATCTGGTGACAGTTCTGATTGATTGATTGTATGTTGTTTTACGCAAGAGAACTTTTCACTCATATAGAGACGTCACCAAATTTAATATTATGTTATTATTTGCGGAGGATGTAACCAATTTTACATCGATGAAACGGGGACCACATTAAGAGCCGGAATCCGGGTGCATAAACAACATTTTCAAGTCCCCGAGTACCGTAAGATCAAACTCAGCGTACACATAGATATATGCGGACAAGTAAAATTTAAAGTGTTTCCTTTTTATAAACTTTTTAGAGATAATGTAACTGAAGGAAGAGAAAAAGAAAAACATTTCGTTCAAAAATTTAAACCCAGTCTTAACAGTTTGATTTAATTTGATTTCTGACTTAACTTTCACACAGAGTAAAACCTTCCCATGTTCTCTAATTAATAATGTAAACACATGTTGGATTGGGTTCAGAGGTGTCAACATACTGTAAGCATTTTATAGGTAGCTGTCAGATTCGATTATAGATAATGATTTTTAATGTATTAATAGTTTTGTAAGACATTGTAGTCAAGAAAACATTATTATGTATTTGTAAAACGTCTGAAGATAATATTGATAGAGCTAAAGTTTTAACCTGTGTTGCCTGTGTTGTATTGAAAATGTTTCACTTTGTTTTCTTGGGGGACATTGTGAGAAGACTGAGAACTGTGGAATTATAAATGCACGGTGCCACAATGATACATGCACATGTGCAGATGGATATTCTGAAATCAATGGATTTTGCACAAGAAGTACCGTCTGGTTTTATGCTTAAAAATGCAATTTTATGATTCCTTGTTAATTTTGTGGAAAGTTGATTCCCTTTGTTATAATGCCAAAAAAGACTTGTGTTTTCAAGCTGATTTTATATCTAAAGACGACTCAGCTGTTCCTTTTTCATATTAGTAGAATGTAAAATTTGTCGACATGTAGATCATCAGCTATCAGTAAGAGATGCTAATCTGTTTAAGTAAGCCTGGTCATACTAAAAACTAATATTCACTACTGACGATTTCATTATTTAATTTTATTTTTTTTAACAGGGAATCTAAAGCTGGGTGAAGCTTGTTCGAACGACATAGAGTGTGGACAATCTCATTTCTGTCACAACAAAATATGTTTCTGTCGTGCAGGATATGTTCAAATTGAAAGAATTTGTCTAGAAGGTAATCTTATATAAATATTGCATGTAGTATAGTGTAACAATGAAAATTTTCACCCCAAGAAACCATTGTCAACGTAGGTTGACAGTGGTTTTCGAGGGGTGAAAATTTTAAATGTTACACTCAACTGCATGCAATATTTATTATATTATACTAAATGTTTTATACAAATACATTCAACAGTAAACCTTGCACGCATAAATTCTGCGCATTCATTATTTTTTGGAATATCACCCGTCGTTAAGCAATATTGACTGTTGCTACGCTGGAGGGGAGTGGCTGCATCATTCTGCGAGTAATAATGTTTTTTAACAAATGTTTATCGACGAATCAGATTCAACTAATTTACATGAAAGTATGGTATATATAGGATCTCCCATGATTTGTAGTTGGATATGATTTTTATCCAACGAGTTGGATAAAAGTCATATTCAACTACAAATCATGGGAGATTCTTTTTATCCCATGTTTAAAACTTCACAACCATTCTTTTACACTGTTTTATATAGGACTCCACTTTATTTTACTTCATCACGCTAACGCAAAAACCATTGTGACGTCACAACTGCACTTAACTATGGGATATGAAAAAAATATCCAATGAGTCATATCCACGGGATAAAGGGGTAAACATGGGATAATAAAAAAATATGTAGGGGACTATATGAATTAAAGTCACGATTCATAAAAAAGAATTCAAGAATTACGTATGTTTCATATAATGTTGGTTTGGTAAATAATATTTTTTTTCTTTAAACTACATCTAAATGATCGATATCATGATACCATATTTTATCACACTCTGTATATCCAATAAATATGTCTTTTATAATTTATAGGAAGAAAAGCACTCGGATCTCCATGTCAGTATCACCAACAATGCACTGAAACACCATACGCAAGCCTATGTCTCGGAAATTCCTCCCATCATTTGTGCAGCTGCGATTTGGGATTTGTCGAAAAAAATCGTTCTTGCATACGTATGATTCACACTTATGATATCACATTTCATTTCAACATGATTATGAGCATGCATGTAGTTTTACTTTTTTTTAACAGGCAGGTGTACAATTTGGTAAAGATATGCTTAGCCATCTAATTCAAAGGGGTCAATTCAAATACTTATTTTCAGAAGTGACTCTAATTGTTTTTATTTAAGTTTTCTTCCTAACAGAAAATATCAAACTGGGTGAGACTTGTCATGAAGAAACACAATGTGGAAAATCTCAGTTTTGCATCAATAAAACATGCTCCTGTCAACCAGGATTTGTTCAAATTGAAAACAACTGTGTAGAAGGTAACATTTACTCAATAAGTAATAAATTTGAGTATACATGTATTTATGTATAATTGTGTATGTTGTATCAAAAACGTTTCACTTTATTTTTCTTACTATATCAAATTTGGATGAAGATTTAAAAGTTTGAAAATGATATGAAAAAATACTTTCTATTAGAGTTTGAAAGTTGACACTCTTTTTATAGTCTAGAAAAGAGATTATGAAAAGTCACTCTTTTCATAATCTAGACAGGAGATTATGAAAAGTTTTGTATTTCCTAAAAAAAAGTTTTAAAGGGGGAAGGGGGGGGGGGGCAGTGTCTA